CCCCAGTTCGTGTTAAAGATTTATTTGTGTCCTTGAGAACGAGAAAAGAAAACGTTCCTGTTATCTCTCCAGTGAAGACTAGTGGTACTTTTGTAGTCTGATAACAGACGTCTAGTGGTGTGTGACTTACAAATTGCTATTGCTATGATAATCCTTACACAAACACCTCTATATGATATGTGTAGACTTTGGCTTCTGTGCATTATGGGAGTATCATAAGTTTAAACATATGTGCTCGAAAAGTAATGGGTTTTTTTAGATGCTGACTAAAGGGTGGTTTTATTTTGCTGAGGGGACCGTCACGGTTTAAAAATAAAGTGTACATTGCCCTAGTCTGTCTGTCTGTCTACTTGCCTGTCTGTCTGTTAGGAGAGTTCTCTTATTTACTCTTTTTTGCTAAGTGCTTTTTTCTGCTTTCCCACATTTTCTTTTAACCTTCACCTTTTCGAACATTTCTTTATGTCTCTATATTCATCTGTCTCTAATTCTTTTTTCTTTTACTGAATACTGAAATTTGTTGTCTTTTTCTGTCAAATATCTTTCTCTCTCTCCCTCCCTCCCTCTCTCTCTCTTTCTCTCTCTCTCTCTCTCTCTCTCTCTCTCTCTCTCTCTTTCTCTTTCCTCTGTCTCTCTTTGTCTCTCTTTCTCTCTCGTTCCGTGCTCTTCTTGAATTCGCGGTTTTCATGATTCGAAAAAGAACCGCGAATTCAAATTGTTAGCGAAATATTCAAAGGGGCACTACTGCATTGGAATCCGAACGCGTATATGGTAGTGGGCGACTTTAATCGCGAATTCAAAACGTTTGAGAAAAACGGAATAGGCAAAACGTGAAGAAAGAAAGAGCCCGCAGTGAAAAAACGTAGTAGCCTTCAGTAAATGAAATAAGGAGTGCACCACATTCTTTCTACGCAGCACATCAATCCTATTTCAGATTTGTTAATTCACCTATTTGTCCTCTTGCTATGAACCGCACAATAAAGGGTTTGTCCTGTAGGCGTGGAAACAAAGTCTGTCATCGACATGAACTACATTCCTAACATGGGATAGACAACACCTTCAAGAAGTATTGAGGAGAGGGGAGGTTGGGGGGGGGGGTCATAAATTATCAAAAGATGTATAATCGGGAATTTCATTTAAAAATCAACCTTCGTTCTGCTCAGCTGAGAAGAAAACTAAGAAATGAAATGCACTGAAGGTAGCCTTTCCATTCATGACACTTTCACTTTCATTTTCATTTCACAGAGCACCAAGGACTATTCAGTAAATAAATCGTGAATCTATACATAGTGGGCAGCCTTCAGCCAGTACCCCTTTTTAAAATCTGTTACAAAGCTCAAACAATAAAATGAACTCCTCGAAACCCATGCTGATAAAGAATTAAAAAGAAAAAAGAAACAACCTCCTATTGTAGACATACACATTTATAGCCCCCCACCAAATGTGAACTCCCTAAGAAAAGACAGAAGTTCCTGGCTTCTTTTTCTCCTCTGCCCCCATAAATAGTGATTCAGCCCTTGGTGCAAAGTTGTAATTTATGCTTGTCGTTCAATAAGGGAGCCTAATCATTTCCACTAAATCAGACAACACACGGAAGCGTCAAGCGAAAAGTCGTTGACCCCTGAACATGCAACAGGCAATCAATGGCTATCTGTTACGTCATGCAAGCTCTAGAGAGGCATTGTTAAAAATATATAGCTCAGTGCTAGATCGACGTGACTGCTATACGATTATCCTCATACACACGGTCAGAAGACTTCACATGAGCAATAACGATAAGTGCCAAAGAGGCACCACTCGAATCTGTACAGCTTTATCGTTGCCATCTCAATACGTCTTGAATATTGCAATAGTGTTGCACGTGTCCGTTTTAAAAGGTGTGGATAGAGATGGATGCTAGTAAATAAATCACAGACAGACAGACAGACAGACAGACAGACAGACAGACAGACAGACAGACAGACAGATAAATAGATAGATAGATAGAATTTTTCTCATAATTTGCAGCATGAGCAAAATAAGCGTCAAGTAGAAAATGAAGAGTCTTGATGGTCAGAGGTTTTATATTTGACGTGGCAATTCATAGAATCAGACGTCATATAGATCTAGATACATTAAGTTCCTAACACGATTCTACCCGCGTTTCATATAAATAAATTGTGTAAAGAGAACAGTCCGTTCTTTAATTCCCTCACTTTGTATCAATTCTATTGTTAGGGTTGTTTTCAACAGTGTCACCTTGATCAAATTCATTCTTGAAACTGGGTCGTTTGAAATTTTTTTCTAAAACTCTGTTTTCTCTTTCACTTAATAGAGAAGATAGACGTTCTTTAGGGGTCTTTGACTCTGTGGAACAAAAACTCCTCAAACTACAGAAACTTTACTGAACGACAAGAACAGAACAACTCTGACCAAAGTCACACAGTACATACCTGCCACGCAAACTGTCAGAAAGGCAAGAATCCAAATGTGTTGAGAAAACATTTTGAGATTGTCACTGTTGGTTAACAAACTCTCTTAGGTAAAAACCACACAGAGAAAATGTAGTCCTTATTTATCCTTTCTTTGAGAAGGGCGTATGTTCTTGTCTTCTTCACTTCTTTGTTTTCTCCTGGAATACGAAGGTGGACGGTGTTGGTAAATAGTGGTCGATAATGTTACACAGTAAGACGTATCCCAAAGTTTAAATGTCCAGATTTGTTTCAGCACACAAAAGGTACAGCTTGCTTACTTGTTTCAATGATAAGAAACAAGAAAACTCAATCAGCTTGCAATCCCGCCAGCGGGTAATGCCTCTTGTGTTTTCGGAGGGCTCAGCAGATAGATAACGCTTGAGTTCTGCCAATAGTTTCAAACGTGTCCGATATACAGGTGTTAATATAACTCAACAAGTTTCGAGACTAGTCTTTATCCAAAATACTCAGACTGTCACTCTTGCTCTTGGCACCTCTGTTGATTTAGAATTTTTAACTGGGAATTTCGAATGTGTTACTGATCCAAATAGTAAACACTATTCACTGGGTTATGATATTAGTTGTTTGCTTCTATTTCCTCAAGTTCTATATTCTTTCTCTCGTTTACTTGTAATAAGTGACCTTCTGTTGTAATTTGTTGTGTCTCAGACTGAAAACAAACAAAAGACAAGTTGGACACAGATTTCCTTCTATATGGTTGCCAATGTTTCAGAAAATGACCAGAAACTGCTTCTTGTGGGTTTCTTTTTGCACAACAGTTCCTCGGCACACGCGTCTTATTAATGCTCACTTCGCTAAGAAAATAGAGGTAACAACTGTTGTCTTGTTTTCCTTCCAATGGTACAGTGAGTCTTGAGTCCAGGTTACAGGACTGACTTGGAATAGCGCGGCGCTTAACGAACTTACTCCTCTGACTCTCTCCGGCCCAACTGAAGACCATATTTCACTGAGGTTCCATAGATCGGGAAATATCTATTGAATAATATTACAAAAAATCGCAACTCTCTTCGATAACTACGTAAGATTTGTGCCGCCATATTCGCTCGAGAAGTCTCCTTATATACGGATCCAAATTTAGTCTCATTTGCATAAAAATGCTGGCCAAAATTTGTGACGTCACAGTTCCGTCAAAGACCTGTTGAATGCGATCGGTGGGAACCGTAGCTAAGCAAAGGAGAAAAGAGGGGGGTAACAAACAGCCAAGAAAAGAAAAGGGAACGGCGCCCGCGAAAGAAATTATCACTAGGGGACGGGTGGGGGCCGCTAGCTAGAGTACGGGTGGGGAGCGTCGGGGAAGGGGGGGGGGGGGGGGCGACGTATCGGTCGGTATTGGGAACAGGCGCGGCTCTGGGCGGGTCGGGGTGTGGTCTGCGTGTCGCGGAGAAAGTCGCGCCCGAGACGACATCACGGGCACAGATCCTGATTTGTGGGCGGGGCTTGTCGTGAGGGAGCGAGCTCGGGTGGCGCTCTCTATGGGGGTGTAGCGGTGTTCCCATCAGGGCTCGGCTCATTCACCTGAGGCATGCACGCCGATCGGTCGTGTCTCGTCATACAGGTGCGGGACTTAGAAAAACTTAACGCACTTGACTTCGATTACAGAAATAGAATCTATGATAGAAATATACATACTTTTACATTTTGTTAAGGAATTAGGTAGACCTTTCCCTAATAATATAAATTAAAAAATCAATTATATTAATCAAGAATTATTTTTTAAATGCCTTTCCATACATTTCGTTTAGTATACTTTTTAAACCAGAGTTGTGTATAAGAATAGTTAGGCCTACTATCATCTTCTTCTTCTTCTTCTTCTTCTT